CGGCCGCCGCCGCCGCACCGACGCCACGGCCCCTTCCGCGCCTCGCAGCCCCGACCCGCGCCGCCAAAACGGCCGCGGCCGCTCGATGTGCGCGCTTACCAGTGAACGGCCCCTCCTGGAGCACCGGCCGAGTCCGCGGCAGCAAGCCAAGTGCGGTCGTGGTTCTTTAGAGACACTTGAGACTTTTTTTATGTACTACTTAATCGAAACCAAAGAAACGTTTTCTGCACCTACTTCTTCTGCAACAAACTGTTCCATTTAAAAATAAAATAAAAATAAAAAAAAACAAGGAAGCACGTCAGGAAGCAAATGAGTAACACACTGTGTTTTGACAGACATCTTGGACGTTTTAGGAAGCAGATCTCAAAGAAAGGGTTGACAAGAACGAGAACAAAGCAAAGCCAGTACGATTGCTGCTTCATTTGACAACTCAGTCATCTTAAAGTTGAAGATTGTCTTTAATTTGTGCCTATGCAGTTTTTTCAAAAGAACAAGGAACAGAGCAACCAAAACCTCAACAGCTACAATACCAAAGATGAGGATTCTCACTACTTGTGTTTCAGTTTATTATCTCCTCTTGCACGACTAAATGCATATAGCACCATTGATCTCTGTACAGGTAATCACTTCTGTTTCTTTGCGCAACCAAAAGAGTGGGTTTATTTATGTTTTTCCTGTTTCTGCCCCACATGGGATCTCTCCAAGAGCTGCATGGACTCCAAGTGCAAGACGTTGGGATACTACGCTGGTATGTCTCCTCTCTCCAGAGCCACGTAGGAAAAACTTGTCGGTTGGGTATGACTTGTTTTGTGGGGTAGAGTTGGTCTCCTGTATGTCTAGAGCTTTGAACAGCCATCCTTCTGTATGTGAAATCAGTTGAGTAACCTACACCATTCTTTCCCTTCCCTGGGGATAAAACTTGCGATATATATGTACCGATTTATGTCATTGTAAGTGCTGAGCACTGCCACAGCCTGGCTCACTGAGATCAGATCCCGATCTGAACCAAAACTGAGGTTTCAGCGGTTCATGTGGCAGTTCAGTAGTTCGTTTTGACATATTAGACATGTTATGTTGGTTGATCAAAGTCATGATGATCCAAATCATGACATGCAGACCTAGGTCCAAATTTACCTTCACAGCTGGAGTGCAATGCTACCATTTTTCTCCATCTCTACCTTTAAACGAGGGCTTCTTTTTAACTACTTTGCAAAAGTGCTGCAGTTATTTTCCAATGCTTACACTTAAAAAAAGAAAGAAAATCAAAAAGCCTTGTCCACTCAGGACAGGAAACGTTTCTGAAAAGTAAATTCAGGATCCTTACAGCTAAACTGACAAGCTCTGGGAATCAAAACATCCCTCAACTTAGATTTCCAGACAGATCATGCATGATTTGAAAATGATCCAAAGAAGCCTTGTAGTCAGACATGGAATAAAGCTGCCAAAAAATGGTTCAGGTCTGGGCTGATGTGTACGGATGCCACCAGGTATTTGAGTGAGAAGTTCTGAGTCAGCACGCTGTAGAGCAGGGCCAGCTGAGGTGGTCTGGTCACGTTGAAGTTTCACCTTCATTCCCATCCAAGGGGGTCCACTCAAACCAGCCTCTCCACGTGCGTTTTGAATGTGGCATTGCCCTCCGGGGAAACGTCTCATTCTGAAAGCATCCTCTCACAGTCTGCAGCAGGCAGAGGCTGGCTTTCGATCACTTTTCTCACGCTCCATTCCATAGTGCCTCTGTAAGCACGGCAGGAGATGACACACCACCCGTGAAAACCCAACTGTCGTTCCTTACCTCCCCTCCCCTTCCTGCAGTCCCAAGGCAGAGCAGCGTGTCATCTCGGACACGGACCGAGCCCCAGGCATCCCGTAAGGCGTGCGCCTGGCAGCTGGTGTCCACCGCAGAGATGGGCACCTGGGACACTTCGTGTTAGGGACGTCCACGGACCGCAGGGTTTGCGTCCCGCCTACCACTGTCCTTAGAGGCAGAGGGGAGCCTGCCCTGGGCTTCTCGTGAAGTCTGTGAGCAAAGACCTGGGCTTCTTATTTCTCTTCAGAGTTCATCCCAATAGCTGTAACCAAGTAAGTCTAGATCAATTTCTGAATTATAAGAAAATGTATCTTCAATGAAGTCATTCATTTTCTCCAAATTCTGGAAGGTTTTGTTATGCAATATTATGGCTTAATTTTTTTTCTTGATCTTTCAAATGTTGATCCACCATCTCACACCAGGAACGACATAATTTCACTGAGTAGTACCAAGGCTGGCCTTACTGCCCGCACTGCAGCATTTGTTTAGCAAAACGCATGAGGCTTCTCTGTGCTGGGGATTGCAAATATATCAATGCCCATGTTTCCTCCATATTTGTCAAAAATAATTTTCATCTGAACATCTGGAAATACTGCTGCATTTTTTATCCCTGCATATTTCATGGCCCTATGTTATGTCTTCCATTTCATTGTCAACTCTTGTAGGCTTTTATGTAGCAGCTATCTCAGAAGAGGAGTGTCGATAGCATATACTGTGGGTAGATATATTTGTATGTACAAGTACGAGCAGAATATATGCTATATTCTGCCCGTACTAAAAAAAACTCAGATATGTTACGTTTATATACCATATATTTATGAATCTATAGAGCCGTGTAATGTAACTTGTTCCTTTTATTTATTCTGATACGAAAGACTAGTATGTACAGATAGTATCCCAGCATCTTCTGTACCGTGTACTTGGAGTTACTACCACAGGCACATCCAAGATGAATTCAACTTTCAAGAAACCTTGGATATTGCTTAATCATCCGTGAAGGAACAAAGAATGTGCTTGATGACTTTGGTTGAATAGCTTTATTCTGGCTCTCTCTTACCTAAAGCTGAATCCAAAGACCTGCGAAGGACTAAACCAGCAAACTACGCTCAAACCTGCAAAAGGGAATAGGGATCTCCTCTTCCAAAGCAAGACACGGTAACGACATGGTATTGCAAAGAGTGTGCTAGCTTCGGACAAAACCCGATGTTTTTCTTGCTTGTCACAATACCTAAGTATTTTTAAGACATGGGGAAACTTTATACTTGGCCTCCTTTATATTTATTAAGGGGAATTTTTATTGTTTAAATTTTTTAAAAAGGCAGAGCTTAAAATGGTTTTATTTTTTTTCCAGACACTTGTGGGTTTTAAGCCAATATATTATCTATCAATAATGTAATTTATTTAATTTAGTCTTAGAGTAGGTCCTGAAATCTCTGTTCAGTCTAAATCCCATTGAGTTTCATTTTAGCTTTAAAATTCAATGGGAGTTTTGCCTGAATACAGGCTGCGGGATCAGGCTCCAATGTTAGTTATTTGTAACTATTTATTCATAAATTCAATCATTTATGAATTAATTTGGGATTAATCTTGCTTATTTATCCATTTTACTGTTGTAGAGCATCAGAGATGCGAAGCCTATGTTAGTAAATACACTTAAAAGTTAGTATTGCTTCATAGAGCAGCCAGGTTCTGTTACAGACAGTAGAAAAATTACGAGTTACGTAAAACAGGAGTCTAGTTTTGATTTCTTCTTTTAATTAATTTTAATTGTTTAAATATCAAAGTTTAAATTATTTAAGTTAATCCCTTCCCATCTGATTAGAAAGTGCGACGTACCTTTAT